TTTTTTTTTTTTTTTTTTTTTAAAAAAAAAAAAAAAAAAAAAAAATTGGTTTCATCAATGGTACAAAAAAAAAAAACTTTAGTATCTTGAGAAGAATGATGGTAATAACTTTTCGGTTTAATTATAAAAGCGAGATTTGTACCTGGTATTAAAAGTGGATGATGACGACGTGAAATGATGCATTTTTTTTAAAATTAGTTATGATTATCATGAGGTTAATAAGGTTATTAAAAGTTATGATCGAATTTTTGAGAACATTAAGCGACCTTTTTTCGAAGGCACCTCAACAAAGTTTCCAAAGAACTTTTTTTCAACGAGCGAGCGTCTTTCAAACGAAACATCAAACGAAACATCAAACGAAACGTCAAACGAACGTCGGTGAAAAAAGATTAGATCTCGAAAAAAAAAAAAATCGAAATAATTTATTGATGCGTCAATACGATAAAAGTACTTAACATGCACGTTATGTTAGTATTGTCGATTTTCAAACTTTTGCTATGTTGTCCGATCGTACATTAGGTTAAAAATTCGCCGCCCAATTATTATTGTAAATCCAAATACTTTTTTTTTTTTTAAAAAAGAAGAAAAAAAAAATCGTTTTCGAATATCTGTTATCTGTTATAGGACAATGTTACTTTACGTACGTGCGGTTCATTTAAAATATTATACTTGCATAAAACATTTTTTCAAAAGAAATATCGTTATTACTTTTTACGCGTTTATATTCATCTTGCATAACAAATTATAACTATTTTTTTTTTTTTAAATACTTTTTTGATTGTTTTTCGATAGTTCCTTTTTTTTTTTTAATTTCGATTTTCCGAAAAAAAAAAATTTTTTTTTTGCTCACGAACTTTATATATGTATTTTTTTTTAAAAAAAAAATTTCCCCGAAAATAAATCGAAATTTTTTGATCTTTTGTATTTTTTTTTTATAAAAAGAAAAAAATGAACAAGGAGATTTTATTATTTTATTTTTTTTTATTATGATAGAAAATTTACATTTAGTAGCACTCAAATAATAATAATAATAATATAATAATAATAATCGGAATCCTAACTTCGGTATTTTTATTATACCGCGAAACCACGCTCATTCATCACAATCGATTGTTGTTGTTGTTATATATACAAAAAAGTATAGAGAAATAAGAAAGTTATTATTATTATTATTTCGTTCTATATTTAGTGCTGTGAAAAATTTCATTTTAAAGAAAAAAAAAAAAGATAATAAAAATTTCCTACAACTAAAAAAAGTGTTTAAAAAGAAAAAAAAAAATTTCGAATTTTTTTTTTTTTTGGAGGGGGAGGGGGAGGAATTGGGTCTTTACACGTAAAAATCTTATATGCACGTATATAATATATATGTATATATGTATGTATAATTAATAAAAGACGAGATTTTCTATATAATGGATGTATATATAAGTGTGAATATTATTTTTTATTTAATTTCTTATAATTTTTCGTTTTTTTTTTTTTTTTTTGCTTGTTTTTTCTTGTTTTTTTTTATATTTCTACAATGGGTTATCCTCGTGTTCAGGGTGGTATAAATCATCCTGTTGCGCAACATTCTATAATGGATTTTTCACCATATGATCAACATTTTTCTAAACGTGTTCGTGTTAATGATAATGATTTTCCTTTAAGTCCTCCATTAAATGCCGTACATTATGATAATATGACACATTCACCTCCTATGTGTCAAGATAATGGTTCAGATGAAGAACATGATTTATTACCTACACCTGAACATTCACCAAATCATACACCTGGAACATCACCAACTTTAGGACCTCATGTGGTTGATCATCATGATATTTTCAATAATCAAACAAATTTTTATAAAATTGATAATTCAGATTGGAAACCACAATGTCATTCAAATTTCACTTTTACGATTCCTACACCAATTTTTCCTAATCGTATTAGTGATGTATTTAATGATTTAACATTTTCTCCAAGAGCTAGAGTTTTACCCCCTCTTCAAAATAACAACAATAATGTTTCACCAGTTTCACCTACCACTGGTCCTATTGGTATTAATAATTCATGTTTTGGAATATTCTCAAATAACGTAAATTATTATGGTCGTGAGTTTACCAATTTACCCCCTTTTAAATATTAAATTTTTTAGTTCCTTGGAGTTTTACGTTTAAATTTCGTCGCTTTTTTTTTTTTTTTTATATATCATTTTTATCTATTATTACCCCCATTTCGAAGAATCTTGGTCTTACATTTTACGATTTTTTTTATCATTTAGCACATTT